TTAAATTTTATGGAAAACACCAGTGGAAACCCACTGTATATTTTTGACCAACATCATGATCTAATTTTTACTGTTACCCATTGAATGAGAGTTAAATATATTTGTAAACAAATAAGAAAAAAAAACTTCTATGGCAGTAGAATTTGATGTTTTGGTTATATAATTTAATTAAAATATCATGTAAATTGATAAATGTAATAAAAATTGTGAATGTTATGTTGAATGTTTTAGAAAGCATCAGTAATACAAGGAGTAAAACTTATATTCTGTTTCGTGTAACACTGTTTTTTTAAATACTAGAAAAATCCTAACAATTGAAAAGGATTTAGTATTTTGATTGCTTCTTAAGATCTTATTCTATGTTAAAGAAACTGAAATGGGGAACTACTTAAGGTGCCTATACTCAAGGACATACTTCTCAAAAGTGCCTTGGACATACTTTTAAAAGTGGAAAATGGTTGCATATTTAATAATATTAAATCAAAGCAGGATTTCAAATGTACAAACATGTCATCTCTTTGTGAATTTTCTAATTTTTTGCTCTAATTGACTTTTTCAAGAAATAATAACTGTTTCATGAAACACCAGGGACTGATGAGTCTCAAAATTAACTTGTCTTTCCCCTGAGTCTTAGAATCAGTTTCAGTTGTTAACAGAGTAGATTTAGTGGTCACATCCCACTAACCTTGTAAACCCAATGTGTTCAAAACTGAACCCATCAACTTGCTTGCACTCAGCAGAATGAAACCATCATCTTTTGGGGCACTCAGTCTCTTATCCTGGAACATGGCTTTGACTTTTTCTCCTTTACCTCCAACATATACAAATTCATTGGTAAAAGTTATCTTATCACCTTCGAGATAATTCTTTTCTCCTAGAAGATAGTGTACACACATTTTTTTTTTAACCATGGTCTTGATCTTGTTTATTCCTGTGACTTCTTCCCTCATAATCTATAAACACTGCACAAAGCATTTACTGATGTTGTGTTTCTAATGAAGTGCTCTCTGCTAAAATCTCAATTCTTTACCTAGCTAAACTGTTTTTGACTTAGGTCAGGTGTCAGCCTTCAATAAACTTTCTTTTCTAGTGAGCTCCATGATATAATTGGCATAAAAGATTTTCAATTTCCATTATTAAATTACCTAAATAATTTGCCCATTTTTTCTGGTTTCTTATTGTCCTATCACACAATCTTAATTATGCATTTACCTGAAGTATGGGAATTTCATGAAGACCTTATCTGTTGTGCCCATAATTTTACCCACCATGCCAAATGCAACAGTTAGAATTTTGTATTTCCTTAAGTAATGTTTGCTGAATGGATTAGTAAATTGAAATATTTTATATTCTAGTAAATATTTCTGGTACAGGATAGATAACTTTAGGGGTAACATTAATTAAAATTCATATTGTCAAATGTTTTAAACCTAAATGAAAACTCTACTTTTTCCCATTTTTGAACTTTATTTAAAAAATGCATACATACAGACAAATACATCCAAAGGCCTGGCTTTAGATACAAACTCTGAGGTCATGAAATTGATCTTACTGAATAAATAATTTAAAATTTTGCAACAAAAATAAAATATAATCAATAATGTCTCAAACTGAATATTTATATTAGCATTATTCTTTACTTTAGTTTAGTCTGAAACTCCTCAGAATGTGTGACCCTTTTTATTTATTGTCCTGAGTAATTAAAGTCTCATTTCCTTTATTTGTTCTCATATTTGAAACAAGCTTCCTTCTGCAGGAGCTGTTCCCTTTGCCATCTCCTGGTGAAAGCAGAATGGACGCTCATTCTTTTCTAACTTGAATTGCAACCAACACTTTCTGATGATCACATTTTCACAGTTGCTGAGGGTAAATAGGAAGGGTGGTGGTGATCTTGACTTTGATCAGACTTTATCAGAGGAATTGTAGCACTGGTATTTTAAATGCAATTTTGATAATAACATCAGCTGAAAGTTCTGTGTGCCTATCTGTTCGAAATTACCATCCATCCTCCCCCACCACACACAATGACATTTTTTTATGTAAAATTTTTTCATCATGGAATGTGACTTTAAAACTGCAAAGAATGAGTAAGCATACTTTAAATTCTTAGGTATTTCATAGAAAATGTAAAAGGAAAATCCTTCTTTCCTATATCAAAACAAAGATAAAGCAGAAATTACAATTTTGCATATAACACTTATTTTTAGCATTTTCTTTTAAAAAAGTATTTAAATATACACAGAAACAACAATCGTCAACCAACCACCATAAAGATCAGTGATCAGATGACCAATACTTTTTATTTCTTCTGTTTTTTACTGTAACTTATCAGAAACAATATTTAAGTTTTATATCATTGCCAAAATTGAACAGCAGAGGGCAGAAAATAACAAACTGTTTCTTAGAGTACACTATTCTATTCAACTGTTGTAATCTTCAAAATTGATTTTATTATTGATAAATTTAAGATAAAATAATCTAGAAAAATGAAGTTTCTAAGTGCTAAAAATAGAACTCTGGACATATGAACAATAAATTCCAAAAATTTCTCATTTATTTATAGAAACATTAACTTCAGTTGATTTAAATATATTATAATTAAATTGACAGCATTCTGCACTTGAAAATAGATAAATTATTGAATATTATAGTGAATTGGAAAAGTTTCATGAATTATTAATACAATTATGCCCATATTATAGGAAATTTCCCAAATGTGTGAAAGGTGCATAATAAGCACACTGTGAGTAGATTCGTAGAATAGCAGTTGAATTACTGGTAATACTTGCTGAAATTTTTATTTCTAACTCATATATGAATTATAATCGGTCAGTGGACAGTGTTACTTTCTTAAGCTCCTACATATTTACTAGGAAAAATGTTCTATGATTCAGCAAATTCTTGTTTTTATAGAACGTAATTCAGTCAATTTTGAATTCATGCCTGCTCTTGACTTTGAAATAGGTTAAGATGAAGATAGTTTTTGAAACATTCTTATCTTTAAAAATTCAATTTACATCCACCCACTCTTTAAAAATCATCATTTTTCAAGTTTAAGCTACCCTCCCTCTCCAAGATCACTTGCATTACTTTGTATGAAATTGAGGATTATTTTTGTAAAAAAATTGAAAGAAAGAAAATGACTGAAGAGTCATTTAAATTTTTCTATGTCCTATTATCTATTCTTTTAGATGTTCATTTTTAAATTAGGAGAAGGAATAATTTCAAATAATTTTTGTACCTTGTATCACATTAGTTGAATGTGTATTTTTATTAAATTATTTTTCATGTTGCAATTTTGTGTGTGTGTGTGCTTCTATTTTTATCCTTACTGACTGTTTAAAAAGCTAATTCCTTTTGGTTCAGAAGACTGGTGTTATGCATACTGAAGAGATTTTATTAACTGCCTTCAATAAATTCTTAGTGATAAAACTAGAAACTATTTTAACCTGGAGTATACACACTTAGTAATAGATTATAGGTTTTCTCCTTATTGACAATTTAAAAGGAAGGACATGATTTGAAATCATAGGATTTAAAAGTCAGAGAGAACTTTTGCTCATCTTCTCATTTTTAAAATGGAGATATTGAGTCCCGGGGTGATAAAGAGGAGGGAGTATCAATAAATACATTCAATAAGGATGTTGCAGGAGTGATATTAATGTCACAACTGCACAAGAAGGTAAAATGATAGGCTAACTCTTATGGCATTTTGGAAATATTAGTAAATTCCTTTTATTAGTGTTGTGGTCCCCAAACTCCTGGCTACTATAAAAAAGTTCCTTTTACTTGTTCTTCTCTTTCTTTGTTTAATCACAAAAGTCATACAATTTGTTGAGGAATATCTGAGGCAGCAGAGGAAATGGCCAGAGCAGCTTCTCAGGAATGGGTTTGGCAATCAGTGTGCAGACATGAATTCCACAGGGGTAATTGTAGTCTTCATTCCTCTCCACCGACTTCCTTTCTATAAATTTTGTATCCCTAGCCTCATTTTCCTTTTCCAGTGGCTTGTGTCTACTACGTGGGGACGTAGCTTACTTCCTTTAGGAAAAGATATTTTGAAACCAAGGGTGAAAATGTGGTGTGGTATCAAGCTTGTAACTAAGTCTCTAAATTAGAATCTGCAGCTCTGTGGCCTTTCTAGATTAGCTGAGCTTCTTTTTTCCTCCAATTAATCCTTCCTTTGTTTTTAATCCGGTATAAAGAAAGGACATCTAAGGAGCCAAGTCTATATCTCTCTATAGCCAAAGAGAGTCTGCAGTGAAGGCAGTGAAAGAAAGCCTTCCACGCACGCAGTGTGGCTTGGCAAGTCGGCATCACAGCCCCAAGGAATGTACTCTATAGATGGAGTTTCCATGTAAAGCACTTCACACATTCTGTCTCCTGAATATTCTCCTACTCAACTTTGTCCTTTAAGAATAGAATTCTGGATTTTTCCTGGATCCTGCCTGCAGCACATGAAACCAAAGTTCAGTTTTGGAACACTTCTATGAATATTTTATTTGCTTGTTTGCTTTTCACCTAAGTCAAGTGAGGTTGATAGCAGCGTTCCTGTATTGCTAAGTGGGTTTCCACAGGAGATGGAAGATAAAAATCAAAACAAATTTTTAATGTAAACCAATAGGGCCTGGTAAGAGAGCACTCTACCGCCAACAATAATTTGCAATTCGACTTCTCATGCACAGCAGCCGGAAATCAGCTTTGCTGCATTTGATCCAGGCTGGAGCATCTCTGAGTGAGAGCTGCAGCAGCGGCACAACCTTAGCTCCAGGCTGGAGGAAATCGCTGTCCTCGGTGCTGAAAGGCAGAAGCGCGCGGTGGGCGCAACAGCTCCCGAGAGAAGAGGTCTTTCCAAGGGACAGAGGCTACCGGGCTCTGAGCAGCTCTTTCTCAGCACAGCGCACGCGAGGCTGCCAGTGCTGTGCGGGGTGCGGGGCACCGTGCGGGGGAGGGGTGTGCGCGCGAGTCCGCGGCCTGCCGCGAGTCGCGCACGCGCGCCCAGGACTGGCTGCTCCTCTCCGTGACTTGCCTGTGTGTGCGCGTGTGTGTATGTGTGTGTGTGTATGTGTGTGTGTGTGTGCGCGCGCGCGTGAGAGAGAGGAGAGAGGGAGAAGAGAGCGCGAGAGAGGGTGAGTGTGTGTGAGTGCATGGGAGGGTGCTGAATATTCCGAGACACTGGGACTACAGCGGCAGCTCCGCTGAAAACTGCATTCAGCCAGTCTTCCGGACTTCGGGAGCGGGGACAGGGCGCAGGGCTTCAACAAGCCACCAGCAGGACCTGGGAAATAGGGATTCTTCTGCCTCCACTTCAGGTTTTTAGCAGCGTGGTGCTAAACTGCTGTCTCAAAATGCAAAGGATCTAATTTGCTGAGGAAAACGGCCAAAGAAGGAAGAGGAGGAAAAGGAAAAAAAAAAAAGAGGGGGTATTTTGTGGATGCTCTACTTTTCTTGGAAATGCAAAAGATTATGCATATTTCTGTCCTCCTTTCTCCTGTTTTATGGGGACTGATTTTTGGTGTCTCTTCTAACAGCATACAGATAGGTAGGTACCCTTTGTGCTATGCTTTTGAATTGTGCATAATTTGGTGGTAATCTTTGTTCACAGTGGACAAATTAATTCATGTCATGTAGACTTATGTCATACCTTGACTGCATTCCAGATTTATACTACCTAGAATATACATGATTTTCTTAGGATGAAGCAAAGGGAAACGACTGTGCCTTTGATACAACAGAGGAAAAGGTCTTCTCATTTCTGACCCCCAGATTTTACTAATTCTGCCTTAACGACATCTCCCAGTTTGCTCAGATTCTCTAGGGGTCTGAATGCCAAGCTTGTGATGATGAGTAAAAGCGAACGTTTCTGGCCACCTACCTTGCCCTCAAGATTCTCATTAGTGTCTTGACCCTTTGGCTACCTTTTGGACGTTCGACCCTGGCTGCCCGATTCTGTAGATGGGTTTATTCGGCCTATTAAAGCGAATAAGAGACTCCGGGCTTCTGGGTGCTAGCGGGCTCCCCTCCTCTCCCTCCAGGGCACTGACATGGTTCTCTTGCTTGGTGTTTGTTCTTTGCAGGGGGGCTGTTTCCAAGGGGCGCCGATCAAGAATACAGTGCATTTCGGGTAGGGATGGTTCAGTTTTCCACTTCGGAGTTCAGACTGACACCCCACATCGACAATTTGGAGGTAGCCAACAGTTTCGCAGTCACCAATGCTTGTAAGTAATGAATATTTATGCCTTTCTGGTGCCGCACGGGGAAAGCTAGCAATGAGAGTATGGGATGGTGTGTGTGTGTGTGTGTGTGTGTGTGTTTGTGTGTCAGTGTGTGGGTGTGAGTGACTGCACACGCGCGTGCGTGTGAAGGCATAGAGAGAAGGTGGCTGTAATCTCAGAGACCCCCGCTGGCTGGGGGTATAAACGGGGCGAAAGGCGTCGAAGAGTTTGCGCACTAGGGAGTCTGGTGGGGGTTCAAGCTGGGGGCGTCTTTCTTGGGTTCAGGGGGGTCCTCGCCAGTCTTGAGTGCTAAGAGAAGCTGTCCCCGCCCCCTCCCCCGAGCGCCTATTGGCACCTGGCCAACAGAGAACACGCTGTTCCCCGGGGCGCGCTGTCGGGCTGTTGGACAGATCCCACCAGGGACTGCCGGAGCCCTGATGCCTGCCCGGCAGCTGCAGCGAACGCCTGTGTTTGGGGCTTAGATCCGCAGCCTCAGCTCAGGCTTATCCTGTGGCCCCCGGGAGCCCCAGGCTCTTCTCTTCCTCCCGTCAAGTTGTTAGAATGGTTCTGGAGTTGGGCTCAGGGCTGTTACATAACGCCCAATCGAGGGGCGCAGCGCAGCAGGAAGCGAGGCCACGCAGGCAGGCGCAGCCCAGGCCGGGTGGGGAAGTGGGCTGGGGCAGTGGGGAGCTCGGTCCCTTTCTCCACCGAGCTCCGGCCAGAGTTGAAGGGGGCGATTCCGCCCCGGGCGCCGCGGTCTGCTCGCCTGCCGGGCGCGCTTTGTTCCCTGGTAGCCGGGCTCCGGCAAAGGCTGTCAGTGGAAAAGGGGTGGACAACAGTTGAATCCAGCCGAGTTTTAAAATCTGAAGTAGTCGCTGATCAGCCATTTTAGTCTTTGCAGTTCTCCATATTAGTCCTTCCACTCTGCTCAGTGCTCGGGGACTCGCGAGGAAGCTCCATCAAGGCTTCAAATAAAGTAATAGAAACCAAGCGATTAGGTGTCTGAAAGGTTCAATGGAAAGGCTGGCGGCCCTTTCCCCGGATTCGCGCCCCCGCCGGCGTGGGCAGTGCAGCCGCAGCCACTGTACCTTCCTGCCGGGTTCCCAGAGCTGCCATCATTTCCTGCCGGTTGGGCTGGGGCGATTCTCTCCTGCCGTGATGTTCGCAGTTCTTATTTCGTAGGTAATCATTTTGGGGAGATTTGCAGATGCCTTACTTCCCACTTTGGCTACAGTGTAAAGGAGCTAGCGGAAAATTACCACAGGAAAAGCCCCACTGCAGCGATCCCACATTAGACAAACAACTGGTTGTCATTCCACTTCCTCATATTAAGCTTTGATCATGCATTCGATGGTTTGGCTTGATTATAATGTCAGGAACATCATCAACTCATTTTGCAACTGCTGTCACCCGGATGAATGAAGAACTGAATAATTTCCTTTGAGTGATAGAACAGGGGCATTGTTGTGTCATATTAGATGACCAGAATCCAATTTTTCTTGAGGGACCGATTTAAGGTTTCAATGCTGTTTTCTTCAAATGCTGGTGTTACAGGAGAACGATCTGTCTCTCTCTCTCTCTCTCTCTCTCTCTCTCTCTCTCTCTCTCTCTCTCTCTCTAAGTGGATTTGCGGCTTCAAAAAATGTCATAGAAGAATATATCAGAAAATTGTAGTCATAGCAGACACACACACACACACACTCACACACTCACACACACACTCCCTGCTTTAAATTTTAAAGGCTTTCTTGCTTGACCTATTTACCTACCAGAATTAGACTATTGGTTTGGTATCATGAAGTTTCCATTTTTCCTAAATTAGAAGTTCAATATGCAACCGTGTTGAGTAACTATACTTAATTGTATACTAGTGTGACAATACTTTGAAAAGAATCCTAAGGGAAGACTACTGTTATTGGGAGGAAGTGGATTTTAGTGTGGACACTTATAAATTTTGAAAATAGTCAGCAACTGAGAAGTTCATTTATTGGAGAAAATACATGAAGGGAGCATTCTGAGAAAATAATAGATATGTCCATTAAACAAAATGAATATTCTTTGATTCCAACACATGTTGAATTACTGTTGGGACTTTGTAAAGAGAAAACATTATAGTTTACCTTAGGATAGGTTTAGTTCCTTGACCTTTGTGTGTGTGTGTGTATGTGTGTGTGTATGAATGTATATTCATATATGTTTGCAAACATGTTTAACTTTTACAGATCTTACTGAAATAAAATATATGGACAGAATATGTACAAATGTTACACACATACAACTCCATGATTTTTCACAGAATGAACATATTCATGTAATAAATGATCAAATCTTTATTTTGCCCAGACTTTCTGTTTTTCTCAGAAAGTGAAATTGAAATTTAAAAAAACGTGCATATCTTCAGATCCTAAACTTAACCGGTCATGGATTATTATCCTAGAACGCAGAAATTATTTGGAGGAACTGAATGTATTTTAAAGAACATGAAAATTTAGAATCTCAGCACTTACACTTCCCATGTTGTAAGTAATTTTACGGATTGCTACAGAAAACTAGCAGAGCACTATTACAGAAAAGAGTCCCATGGGACAGAATTTTCTGGAGTTGAAATTGACTTGTTGGGTTAACCACTTCACATATGTGACTCGGTTTCTTTATTCATTTAAGAATTTCAAAATCTATGAAATGGGATGTTTTTTTCCTCCTTTTTTGGTGCTAAGGACAATAGAAAATATTAGTTTCTCTCTTCTCAAAGAGTGAAAGTGAGGGAGAGATGATTATATAAAGTAAAGCACAAAGTCACTAGTCAAGAAATGAATGGGATCTCCAAAGTCAAATTTACCAAGATGAGTCTTGGGTATTTAATTCCTCCTCAAGCTTTTTCTCCAATGCCTTTCTTTTGTTTTCTTGCCTTTTTAAAGTTGGGGAACCCATAATTTTTCTTATATTAAAGTGGAATTTACAGTATCAGGTACTTTGAGAGTTAAGACCAAAGCATCTTTTCCTCATTTCCACCAAAAACCTAAGAAATTGTGCTCTAATTCCATTGTTAAATAATGTGTATTGTCATTCAATGCTTATAATTGGGGAGATTGTTCTTCATTTTAGTTAAGCCATAAAAATCCCACTGGGTTAGATTTATATATTAAGAAAGTGGGATTTTATAGTTTCCTGATATAATTTTAACAGAAACAATATTATTTGTTCACTGATTTAATTTCATTACTGGGATGAAGGAACTTTGTTTGGAATTGTTGAGGTTGACATTAAGTTAAACATCCAAGAAGATCTAATGAATGGGTGGGTTAAGCATATGCAAATGAATCGAAATCATTCTGTTCTGAACTGGGTAAAATGACTAAGTGCATTCCACTGGGCTCCTGTATATCCTTTTTTAGTCAATAGTGAGATGGGAATGGGAATGTACCTGTTCAGTCTTACTTGTTCTGTGAGGAAATAAAGACTGATTTCCTTTTCTCTTTCTTTCTTTCTCCTTCCTCCTTCTTTCCTTTCCTCTTTCCTTTTCATCTTGACTACATACAACACAATTTTTTTAACCCCCTGAGGGTTTTTCAAAGCCTTCATTATGAGAAAGTACAAAGCCTATAATCAGAAAGAAACTTGAGACTAACAGAAGCTGAAGCCACTGATGGGCCTCAAGAATTTATTCATTCACTCAATAAATACTTATTGAATGCCTTCTAGTTATCAAGAATAAATGAATGTTTTTCCCTTGGTAACTCAGTTTTTCTAAACTTTTCCCTGTGTTCTAATAGTTTATAATGCTTCAGAGGTTTCAATATCTTTAGTGTGTATTGGCAGCTGAAGGGTTGTTTAAGAACTTTAGCGTGTGTAAAGGCATTCTAGTAGTTCTTAAACGTAAGTAACTTATTACAGTAATAAAAATATGAATTTTTGAGAAAATAATAAATTTGATACTAGTGTTTGTCTACATACCACATGGTTAACTAATAGAATCAACAGCATATTTTAGGAAAATACTACGTATTTTTACATTCTAAATAATTTTAGTAAATTTTGGTGCTATACTAATTAGCAAAAGTAAAAAAAAACTGTCTGTAATGGTGATAAACATGAGTATTTGATCCCATAGGATTTGGGGGATTAAAGATATTAAATATTGGATTTACTCTTCAAAATCTTCTGAATCTTGATGAATGAATTTGACAAATAGCTATTAGATTAGTTAATGATAATTTAACAATTTTATATTTAATTATTAATTCCATAAAACAAAGTAAATTATAAAAATATTAAATTTTAAAAAAACAGAAAATGAAAATCTACTTTTTCTGTAAGCCAGCAGATGGAGATGTTGGAGAAAATATTGTGTTTTATAAAACTGTTGCCTACACTGAATACGAATCCCTTTTAAAATGTTGTAAATGAATTTACTTAGAGAAATTGAGAAAATATAAATGAAATCTAATTTGAAAAGCATTATTCAAAAGATTGTTTGAGAAACAAAGTTCAGTTCCTCCTTTTAGAAACAGATTACCTTAGATTTTATTTATTAAATAGATCATCCTACATATTGTAGACTTGTTCATAAAGCATTTAGGAACAGAAATGATCATAACTGCTCTTAACAGGGAGAAAGTTTTAAAATTATATTTTTCCCTCTTTTAAACCTTGATTACACAAATACAATTTCTGAGGTATATTTCTTATCATTGAATTGTAGTCACAAAATTTATTTATCATTGGAGAGTATCAAGAAAATAATAAGCATGTACTAAACAGAAATCCAAGGATACCCTTGGTTGAAATACTGTATTTGGGGATGAGAGAAATTATGTATGCAAATAAAAATTCCTGTATGAAATTATGGAAGCTTAAATGAGCAAGAATTTACTCCTGTGAGATCCCTGCCTGAAGTCTTACAAGATTCAATCTGCTGACTCAAGAAGTGTGGAGCATTTCTGTTTCATGTCAAGCGTCAAAGTGCTGGGGTTATTGTACTGTGACATTATGACAAGCTGGTG